TTCCCTTTTTTAAAAAAATGTTTCTTTATTCAGGATAGAGTGCAGGTACACAAGAGAACGAGAGGGATGGAGGGCCCCATCCTCGGGTCTGGGGGCGCCAGTGAAAGCACACACGTGCCCGGCGTGTTCCAGACTGACACACACACGAGACACACAGGCTCCGCTTCTCTCGGGCAGGACTTTGCAGCTCCACACGATGCCGGCCCAGCAAGGGGGCACCAGCCGGCACCACCCTCTGTGGCAACTTGCCAGAACCCACCAAACTTGAAAATGTGCCCCATCAGCAATCTCCAAGGAAGCTAGAAAAACAAGCACCTGGCGAAACGGCACAGGGACGAGGCTGTGCACTGCAGCCCTGCTCCCCACAGCCAAACCTGCGACGACTGGTCACAGCGACCCCCTCGGCAGGCGGTACCTGCACCACGGAGGCGGGACCTGCACCTGTCCCACGACACAGCCACCGCAGGAGTACAGAGCATGATGGTGCTTTTGCTCGAAAAGCAAGGTGTATGTGCATACATGTACCCAAACGTGTTTCTTGAAAACGCCTGAAAGAACTCCAACAAGCAATCCTCAGGGATCACGTCAGCGAGAAAAGCAGTTCCTGAGGACCCGGACACAGACGGGACGGGGACTGTGGGCTGCTACGAGCGACACTGGGAGCCCTGGGAAGAGGCCTCCTCTCGTTCCCTCCAGTCACATGTGTCCCTTCTTGGGCACAGGAAGAAGTACAATACCAACCTAGGGAGACGGGTTTCGTCAGCTCCATGAGCAGGTATTGCTTCGTCCTACACGGTGTTTCTGAAAACTCCAGCATATGCGAGGCCTGCAGGTGGCGAGCTGGTAACGGCGCTGGATCCCACATGGCTGACCGCAGTTCAGCTGTCAGTGTGCTTGAAAATCACACCAGCATGTGCGCATGCAGGTCCAAAATGCCAAGAGAGTGGAGGGAAAGGGACTACAGCATGGCCATCCCTGTAAGGGATAAGTTCTCACTTTCCCAGTCTCTGTCTCTCTCTGATCAAATTACAAACAAGAATAATAACAATAGCAAATAAAATTAAATAAATAATTCTTTACTAAAAAATCTGGAATGAAAGAAGGGATGATCCTACCACACTTGCAAAAATATAAAGAATTACAAAGGCACCCAGTGAACAACTGCACACCAACAAGCTGGGTGAAATTTCTGTACACACAACAACTACCGACGTAATTCAGGAATCAGACACTCAGCAGGCTGACGCCAAAAGACTGAATCAATAAGAAAATCCCTAGGACCAGATGGCTTATTTCTAAATCTACCAAACCTTTAAAGAATGAACATTCCAGGGACCAGCAGTTAGCATAATGGCTCTGTCGCTGGACTCCCATGTAGTCAACTGTGGTTCAAGTCCTGGACCCAGCAGCTTAAACTCACGCCGGACACGTGTGCGTGCATGCCCAAGATCCCGAGAGGAGAATGGAGGAGAAGGGATTGTGGTGTGGCCATCCCCCCTGGGGGGTGATTTTTCACTTTCTGTCTCTCCGTCTGTCTTTCTGGCGACCACACGTGCCCTATAGCAAAAATCTCTCCAAAAAAAGAAAAAAAAAAAAAAAAAGAATGAACACTACACCAATACACAAACTCTTCCAGAAACTGAGGAGTGAAGAAAAGGGAACATACCCTAACTCAAACTAGGAAACCAGTCGTGACATGGGCACCAAAGCCAAAGACGTCGCTAGAAGAGACAAGCACAGACCAATACCCCTTGCATTCAAGAACCCTCCATGAAACTGGCAGACCGAATTCACCAGCAATGCGGGGACAGGGGCAACATGCAAAAAACAATCGACAGTAACAGACCAAAGAATACACCCCCTCGCAGCCCCGTGACATCTCAGTGGGCACAGGACGAGCACTCCACGAAACGCAGCATTCTTTCAGGATTTAAAAAAAAAAAAAACAGAAAAAAGCTCACAGCAAATGTTACACACTGGACAGTGACAGACTGAAGGCTTCTCCCTAAGTTGGGGACAGACGAGGACGCCTACTGTCAGTGTGGCCCAGCACTGAGACTTCCAGCCAGGGCAGCTGGGGCAGGAGGCAAACTCATCCGGACTGGAAGATAAACTCCCCTCTACACAAATAATCTATCTGTGTGTAAATACTTCTAAACACGCCCTAAAGAAAAAACTCCCAACAAGTAAGCAAAGTCAGCAAGGTGACAGATCAATAACCACCAGTTGGTGTTTCTCACCTCGAATCCATCAGAATGGCTGCCACTATAGAGAATGGGGGCTATGGTGAACACGTGGCTGATTACAGTTCGAATCCCTGCCCCAGCCACTTGAAAAACATGTCAGGACTGTGTTTATGCATGACCAAAAGTCTTGGGCTGGCCTGTGGTGCAATGCTTAGGAGTGGGTGTGCATGTGTTGGATCACACATGGCCAGCCATGGCTCAAGTCCTGGCCCTGATGACTTAAAAATCACTCCAGAGGGGGACCCGCAGGTGGCATGGTGGTTAAGGCACTGGACATTCCCACATGGCTGACCATGGTTCAAGTCCTGGACCTCGCAGCTTGCTTTTTCACTTTCTTTCTCTCTGTGTCTCTCTCTGGTCAAAATAAAATAAGTAAATGAATAAATAAAATTCAAAATAACTATTAAAAAAAAATCACTCCAGACACATGTGCCCATGTGCTCAAAATCCTAACAGGCTGGAAAAACGGGGGAAAGAACTGTGCCGTAACCACACGCTGTGCTCTCTCTCCCCCCAACCCCACATGGCAAGCATCCTCTGGCAATTAAAAAAAAAAAAAAAGATTGAGGAAAACAATGGACAGTAACAGAGTTGGCAAGGTTGTGAGGAAAGTGGAGCCCTTGTGCACTGTGGACAGGAATGTAAAATGGTACGGCCCAGCCCAGCAGGCGGTGCACTGGGCAAGGCACTGGACTCCCCTATGGCCAACCACAGCTCCAGCCCAGACCTGGTGGCTTAAGAATCACACCAGGCATCTGTTTGTGTGTGCCCAAAATCCTGAAGGGAATGGACGAGAAGAGACTGCAGCATGGCCATCCCTCCAGCGGGTGCTTTCTTACTTCCCCTCTCTCTTTCTCTGGGAGTGCATGTGCCCAATGGCAAAGACCTTAAAAAAACTTAAAAACCTTAAAAAAGTAAATTTTACTGGCTTATGAATTATACCAAAGGACTTCAAAGAACTCATGGAAAATTAAACTAAAGCAAGGGGTCCCCAGTCTCTGGTGCAATCACTGGAGTGTGGGGTTGCAGTGCTGGAACCACATGGCCAACCATGGTTTGGACCCAAGCCTGGCTGACCTGAATCACACCAACCTAGAGCATGTACGATCAAGACCCTGAGTCATAAGAAGTCTGGAGAGAGGGGGTCGCAGTGTGACCAGTCCCTCGGGAGTGCTTCTCTCACACAAGCACATGCTTTTAAAATTTGGAAAAAAAAAAAAAAAAAGAATATAGCCAGCAGGTGGCATGGTGAAGGGACTGAACCCTATGTGGCTGACTCCACGGTTCCAGTCCCGGATCCAGCAGCTTTGAAACCATGCTGAGCATATGTATATGTGTGCCCAAAAATCCCAAGAGGAAAATGGAGGAGAAGGAACTGTGGTGTGGCCATTCTCCCTGGGGAGTGATCTGTGAATTTCTTTCTTTTTCTGTCTCTCTCTAGCAAGCAAATTCACAGTATGACCAAGAAAAAAAAATCTAAAAAGATAAAAAATAAAGTACAAGTCTGTTTCTTTCATAACACACATTCCCTGTGCACTTTCTGGGTACTCCCACGTATCACAATTAAAAACGTAATACTGAAGGAACGTGTAAACGCACTGTGACGTAAGTCAGGACGGCCCTTTGGCCTTTAAGGGAGCCAGATCTACACAGCTGACCGCTCAGTTGAAATCCCAGCCCCAGAGGCTGAAAAACACCCCAGATTTATTTCCATGCCCAAATCCTCAAAGCACAGAGAATGAAGAAGGGATTAATTACAGTGTGGCCACACCCCACTGGGTGTTTCTCTCTGGCTAGCACACATACTCTGTCAGATTTAAAGAAGAACAAAAGAAAAAAGACCTAACAGGGAATGATCCACCTCCCCATTTTCTCTCCTCTTTTGAAGACCCCGAGCTGCACCCAGGCCCAACGCCAGCCCCCACACACTCACCTTGAGGTGCTGGTGCATGCAGTAGCGGCACACCTTATGTTTCATCTCGTGTGTGACGTCACTCGAGAAAGGGATAAACCCACACTTTGGCTATGGATAAATAAGGAAGGAGGAAACATTTAGGGAGAAATCGCACACCTTCCCATAGACACCTCTAACACCGAGATCACAACGCGTGCCAGGCCGCATCCCAGCAGCTGCCTCCCCAGAATCCCAGGCCGGCCTCCACAGGGCACATGGGGCGCCACAACACAGAACAGCTTTACGCTTTCCCTGGAGGCGTGGGCAACGTTGACAGCCCGGGCTGCCAGCTCCAGGGCAGATCACAGCCACACTGACACTTGCAGGCCCAGAGGTGCCCACCTGACAGCTGCTCGGCTCCCAAACCTCAGGGAGCCCTGACCACCTGCTAAAACCCGAGCACATACAACATACAAGACCCGTGCCTGGCATGGGCACTGAGGGACACAGCTGGGGCCACAGGGCAATAAGGGTCTGGGCACAAGTCTGGCCTCAGAGGTGCCTGGTGAGGAAACAGCGCAGCCAGGCAAGCAGAAGGCATCTTGCAACTCGGGTGGCTATCTGGGATGGGGGCAGTAGAAAGCCAAAGCCGGAGGGCCCTGCACAGCCATTGCTCCTGTCCCGGCATACCAGTGGGTGCCAGCCTAGCAGCTGGCAGAGCCCAACCAGGAGGAGGCACAGAAAGAGGGCAAGACGGGCAGACTAGGCCCTCTGAGGAAAATAGAGATGGGGGAACCAACATGCTTCCTCTGGTGACCCTTAGCCACGGCCTGTCCCAGCACTAGTATGCAGGGTAGGCTCCCTGCTATCAACACCTAGGAACACGCCTGAACCTGGGAGCCCATGGAGGAAGTGGAGCAGGAAGGGCACAGGTGGGGTCCGATAAGGAGTCACAGGGCCAGAGAATGGGCTCCACAGGAATGCGTGCTTGAGGCAGATGACACAGCCACATGACCCAGACCGACCTGCCCCTCCACCCACTGGCAACCCCTTGAGAATCCCACCTTAATCTCCACACACAGAGTGGGCCGGTGCTCTGCCACGCGGTAGGTCTGGAGCCTGGTTAAGTTGGGAAGGCACATGGCGTAGCCACTGAGAGTGTCCAAGTCCTTGTCACAGCGAGACTCTGGAACACAGAGCAGGTGAGAGGCCTGAGGTCACCACCGAAAGATTGGTGGAACCCGTCACAACCAGTGAGAATCCCGAACAGAGTGCGGCCCTGCCCAAGGTGGCTGCTAGGGTCACCTGGAGACCCTGGTATCAGCTTGAGCTCTGGGGGCTGGAAAGGAGGCCAGCCCTGTGCAGACAGCGTGTCTGTGTGGGGCACAAGCCTCCCGTACCACAGCTGGGAAGCGTGCACTGCCCATGTGGCCCCGGGGCAGGTCGCCAGGCTGACACCGGAGCTCCCCAACGGTCGGCCCTCACCCTCTGTGGCTACTCATGTCTCTCTCCTCTCACTGCGGTAATCCACAACCATGAGAGTAGTGGTCAGGTCCGTGGTCCACCTGGCAAGGCATCTTGGGGACCCCGCGAGTGTGATTACTATCAGCCATGAGGGTGATCTTGGCACAGGTGGCCCCTAATGCTAGGAGAGAAGAAGGCTGTGGCCTTCCCCTGTTCACAGCAGGACCATGGCCAACACACTGGGCAGTCTCCTCCACGTAGCCTCTGCTGGAAGCCTGGTGCACAAGAGCCAAGCCAGACTGGGCCCTGGGTGCCCTGTCAGGGCTGCTCATCATGGCCTTGCTCTGAGACCTTGCTACAAGGGGCAGCCTGGTTCTCACAAACAAAAAGTGGAGAGCCTTCAAGGCTGAACTGAGGCCTGGCTGGCCGTCTGCCCCAGAGACAGCACTGGGCCTGCGCCACCCCATCTCTCCTCTGCACCTCTCCATAGCCGGGGTCTGCCCACCCTGGCCCAGCCACGGCTCCACGCCTGGAGAACGGCAGGAAAAAAAAGAATATAGCCAGCAGGTGGCATGGTGAAGGGACTGAACCCTATGTGGCTGACTCCACGGTTCCAGTCCCGGATCCAGCAGCTTTGAAACCATGCTGAGCATATGTATATGTGTGCCCAAAAATCCCAAGAGGAAAATGGAGGAGAAGGAACTGTGGTGTGGCCATTCTCCCTGGGGAGTGATCTGTGAATTTCTTTCTTTTTCTGTCTCTCTCTAGCAAGCAAATTCACAGTATGACCAAGAAAAAAAAATCTAAAAAGATAAAAAATAAAGTACAAGTCTGTTTCTTTCATAACACACATTCCCTGTGCACTTTCTGGGTACTCCCACGTATCACAATTAAAAACGTAATACTGAAGGAACGTGTAAACGCACTGTGACGTAAGTCAGGACGGCCCTTTGGCCTTTAAGGGAGCCAGATCTACACAGCTGACCGCTCAGTTGAAATCCCAGCCCCAGAGGCTGAAAAACACCCCAGATTTATTTCCATGCCCAAATCCTCAAAGCACAGAGAATGAAGAAGGGATTAATTACAGTGTGGCCACACCCCACTGGGTGTTTCTCTCTGGCTAGCACACATACTCTGTCAGATTTAAAGAAGAACAAAAGAAAAAAGACCTAACAGGGAATGATCCACCTCCCCATTTTCTCTCCTCTTTTGAAGACCCCGAGCTGCACCCAGGCCCAACGCCAGCCCCCACACACTCACCTTGAGGTGCTGGTGCATGCAGTAGCGGCACACCTTATGTTTCATCTCGTGTGTGACGTCACTCGAGAAAGGGATAAACCCACACTTTGGCTATGGATAAATAAGGAAGGAGGAAACATTTAGGGAGAAATCGCACACCTTCCCATAGACACCTCTAACACCGAGATCACAACGCGTGCCAGGCCGCATCCCAGCAGCTGCCTCCCCAGAATCCCAGGCCGGCCTCCACAGGGCACATGGGGCGCCACAACACAGAACAGCTTTACGCTTTCCCTGGAGGCGTGGGCAACGTTGACAGCCCGGGCTGCCAGCTCCAGGGCAGATCACAGCCACACTGACACTTGCAGGCCCAGAGGTGCCCACCTGACAGCTGCTCGGCTCCCAAACCTCAGGGAGCCCTGACCACCTGCTAAAACCCGAGCACATACAACATACAAGACCCGTGCCTGGCATGGGCACTGAGGGACACAGCTGGGGCCACAGGGCAATAAGGGTCTGGGCACAAGTCTGGCCTCAGAGGTGCCTGGTGAGGAAACAGCGCAGCCAGGCAAGCAGAAGGCATCTTGCAACTCGGGTGGCTATCTGGGATGGGGGCAGTAGAAAGCCAAAGCCGGAGGGCCCTGCACAGTCATTGCTCCTGTCCCGGCATACCAGTGGGTGCCAGCCTAGCAGCTGGCAGAGCCCAACCAGGAGGAGGCACAGAAAGAGGGCAAGACGGGCAGACTAGGCCCTCTGAGGAAAATAGAGATGGGGGAACCAACATGCTTCCTCTGGTGACCCTTAGCCACGGCCTGTCCCAGCACTAGTATGCAGGGTAGGCTCCCTGCTATCAACACCTAGGAACACGCCTGAACCTGGGAGCCCATGGAGGAAGTGGAGCAGGAAGGGCACAGGTGGGGTCCGATAAGGAGTCACAGGGCCAGAGAATGGGCTCCACAGGAATGCGTGCTTGAGGCAGATGACACAGCCACATGACCCAGACCGACCTGCCCCTCCACCCACTGGCAACCCCTTGAGAATCCCACCTTAATCTCCACACACAGAGTGGGCCGGTGCTCTGCCACGCGGTAGGTCTGGAGCCTGGTTAAGTTGGGAAGGCACATGGCGTAGCCACTGAGAGTGTCCAAGTCCTTGTCACAGCGAGACTCTGGAACACAGAGCAGGTGAGAGGCCTGAGGTCACCACCGAAAGATTGGTGGAACCCGTCACAACCAGTGAGAATCCCGAACAGAGTGCGGCCCTGCCCAAGGTGGCTGCTAGGGTCACCTGGAGACCCTGGTATCAGCTTGAGCTCTGGGGGCTGGAAAGGAGGCCAGCCCTGTGCAGACAGCGTGTCTGTGTGGGGCACAAGCCTCCCGTACCACAGCTGGGAAGCGTGCACTGCCCATGTGGCCCCGGGGCAGGTCGCCAGGCTGACACCGGAGCTCCCCAACGGTCGGCCCTCACCCTCTGTGGCTACTCATGTCTCTCTCCTCTCACTGCGGTAATCCACAACCATGAGAGTAGTGGTCAGGTCCGTGGTCCACCTGGCAAGGCATCTTGGGGACCCCGCGAGTGTGATTACTATCAGCCATGAGGGTGATCTTGGCACAGGTGGCCCCTAATGCTAGGAGAGAAGAAGGCTGTGGCCTTCCCCTGTTCACAGCAGGACCATGGCCAACACACTGGGCAGTCTCCTCCACGTAGCCTCTGCTGGAAGCCTGGTGCACAAGAGCCAAGCCAGACTGGGCCCTGGGTGCCCTGTCAGGGCTGCTCATCATGGCCTTGCTCTGAGACCTTGCTACAAGGGGCAGCCTGGTTCTCACAAACAAAAAGTGGAGAGCCTTCAAGGCTGAACTGAGGCCTGGCTGGCCGTCTGCCCCAGAGACAGCACTGGGCCTGCGCCACCCCATCTCTCCTCTGCACCTCTCCATAGCCGGGGTCTGCCCACCCTGGCCCAGCCACGGCTCCACGCCTGGAGAACGGCAGGAATCACGAACCGGCCATCCCACACCCTCAGTGTGAACGCCTTGGCACTCAACTTCACACCATTGACTGCCGACAGCAAGAAAAGCTCGACTGGTACCTGCTGATGAGGCCACCAGCTGGCGAGGTAAGGAAGGGATAGTGAGAAGGCAGGTGTGCAGCTGAGGGGGGCAATGACCACGAAGCCGCTCTCTTCCCCCTTCCTCAGGGACACAAGGCTCTGGCCTGGACCCCGGCTAAGGGAGGATCCCAGGGCCACAGGCTGTAGCCCCTCAGGACCAGCCCTCCCCTGAGGCTCTGTCACTTCCATTCCCTTTCCACCACTCCAGGCTGCAAGCCCCTTCCCTGAGCCTCTCCGCCTGCATGGCCTCCCTGGCTCTCCCTAATGTCATGTCAGGTGACTCATTCTTGGTCATGTGTGCTGTGCCGCACTCTGGTCTCCTGAGGTGCTCCCAGGACGTCTACCTGACATGGAGCTCCCGGCAGCTGAGCTGCTGAAAACCTCCCGTGGTGGGATGACGGCACCCACCACCACTCACAGGGGCGCTGTGGCATGGCAGTCCTCCACCTCGGCCCCTTACCTGGTCTCTCGGACTGTATCTTCACACACAGCTGCTTCACGAACTCCAGGGGCAGCTGCACGACCTCCTGTAAGGACAGTGCAGAACACTCAGTGGGCCCCACGGTGTGGGCCATGGTACCGTACCAAACGAGAGCCCATAGCTAAGCAGGAACATTCTGCGTGGGCGTGGGGAGCGAGAGCCGCTGTCAGCGGCCAGCTGTGCTCGGGTTTAACAGGGGTGCCGACATTTCAACATGTAAAGGATGGTCAGCCCTCCTCAGAGCAGCTCAGTCCCCCGCTGTCCCCCGGGTAGCCGGAGACACAGCCCTGGACCCGGTCAACTACGGGACCCCGGCCGCAGCAGCCTATGTATGGTTGGCCAAAGAGGGCCCGTCCCGGCAAAGCCAGCTTCTCCCCACGTGGCTTTCCTTGGCCACTTCCGAAGGAACGTTCTCATGGAAGTGCATCGCTCACTGTCTTCCCGACCCTCTCGTGTTCCAGGGCAGCAGCCTGTGACTTCTCAGAAGGCCCAAAGGGCCCCTGAGACACGCCTAAACAAGAATGCTGAGGTACTGTCATGGGGGCCACACCTCCTCCACCCTGCCCCACAGGCACACGGCCTGGAACCCTCTGTGTCACACTGGCCTCGTCGACTCTGTCCCCAGCCCGGTAGTCAGGCTTTTGCCTGAGCTTTTGCCATCTACCTAGACAGGCTACATGGACGAAAGGTGAGTTATTGACGATCTGGTGCTGCCTCAGGGGAGGTGAAACCATGGAGAAGAGGGAGAATGTCAAATTTCGAGAATCCAGGGCTGAGGTCACCTCAGAGCCCACAGCCTCACTCCCCATAAGAGGCGAATACAAAGAGGGACAGAGGCCGCCTCTGGATGCTCCATGGTCAAGGCCGAGAGCTGAGAGCTACGTCGAGACCCTCATTCTCCAAACGCCTGGGCCCCACACCAGCGCCCACAGCAGGAGACACAGCCACCCACAGGGCTTCGTCCCACACGTGGCGAAGACCCTCCACGCTGCAGTTTGTCTGCTGCCTGGCCTGAGGCCACCATCTCTGGGTGAGGAGCTGCCCCAATCTGCTTCTAGACAACTCCATGTTACCCACTTCCCAATGAGCATGTCTGCTTTCACTTTGAATCAAGGAATGAGAGCGGACGTCCCCTCTAAGGTCTGACAACCAGGCTAAGCGCTGTCAGCCCGCCCACGTCAGGACAGTGACAAGCTGTTCCTACACGTGGCTGGGACGAAGTAGAACCAGAAGGAAAGATCACAGAAGCCCTCCTGGAACCCAGCTTGGCAAGAGATAAAGGAGGACCTGCAGACAATGCACTGCCCTCAGAGGGACAAAGGACAGCTGCTCAGGAGGATGGAGACCTGCTACCCGACTGTCCCCCCACTGTGTTGTCCACCAGCCCGTCCATCCCATGGAGCTCAAATGGGGAGCAGTGGTGAGTCCAGGAGGCACCCGGCCTTGGCAGGACCTGCCCCCAGAGCAAGCAGCACTTCTGAGGTCTCAGACACTGTGGCTCAGGAGTGACAGCTGGGCCAAACATGCAGTTCAAACCCTGGTCCCAGTGGGGCATGGGTGTTCCTGTGAACAAATTCCTGATAGGCTGGAGAGATGAAGGGATTGGGGCATGACCCCGCCCATCGGGGGCTCCCTTCAACCCCCCACCCGGCCAGCACAGGAGCAACAGCAGGAGAACCTCGGAAGGAGCCCACTGCCTTCCCCTCCCAAGCACTCCCCGCTAGTGCCCACAGCCCAGACCAGCCTTGGACTGCCGGGCAAGGGCAGGGGCAGGGGCAGGGGCAGGGCCAGGGGCAGGGCCAGGGCCAGGGCCAGGGCCAGGGCCAGGGCCCGGACTCTTCACTGTCTCTGACTCTCGGTCTCAGCATGGCCTGGCTGTGTCTGTCCCAGGACAGACAGGATGGACCGGCTCATGAGGGCGCTGTTCTGCCTGGCTGGCCGGCACACACGTGGTCCTGGGCCTGCCGACGGCCACCCCGTGGAGCTGCATCTGCCACACTTCTGCCTTGCCAGGGCGTGGCGGCCATCCTGCAGCTCACCTGGATAGAAGCAGCCTCACTTTGCCCAGGTGGGGGGTCTTGATGTAGAGACAGTCTCACATGACCTTGGGGCCAAGCCCCACCCACCATCCTCACTGAGACTGTACCAAGGACAAACGGAAGTAAGCCTGGAGTCAGACGCTCCTGACCCTGTCTCCTCCCCAAGGCCCCCCCACCTTTCACCCCACTGGGCCAATGCTCCGGGACCCCCAAGTCTAATACCAATACCCCAGCCAACAGGCGCCACTGCCACCCACGTTCTCCCTCCAGAAGAGAAGCCTAATCCTACAAGCCCAAAGAACTTCCACTCCACCCAGACGAGTCAGGTGGGTGGTGGCATTTCTGGGAGATCACACATTCCAGAACATTCTCTCCTTCAGAAGAGAGGCTGTCAGCAGCCACCACCCAAAGCACAGGCCTGTGGCAGAGCTGCAGGGATCTTCCCAGATGAGCACCTGTGACCTGCACATGCCCAGCACCAGGACTAGGCTCTGCTCTGAGGCCGAGCCAGGGCCCGAGCAAGGGCCACGCCCGCTCTGTTCCCACAGACCACAGCTGAGATGCAGGCCGAGCACGGCAGTGGTGAGGCCAAGGCAGCTCAGTGCTTCTCCTCAGCCCCAGCTTTGGAAACGCAATAAAACTCGTCCCACAAGATGGCCCCAGGACTCATCCCACTTACCCACTCCATGAGGCCAGGGGATGACTCCAATGTGGGCCTCATTTGCTCCCTAGCCTGCTTCGAAGATGCCCCCAGGGCAGAGAGCCAACTGTCCTTCCACTGACGGCCCCGTCTGCACTGGAGAACCCTCACCAACCAGGGGCCTGAGGGGCTGGAAGCGGGGATGGCTCCCAGCCAGAGTTCTGAGAGCGGGGATGCCACGCCATCTCCTGAACCTCGTGCTTCTCAGCTAGGAAATAGGAACTGCAGTATCTGCTCTGATGCCAGCACAAGGGTGAGGAACCGTAAGGTGAGGAGGGTCATCACCAGGCATAAGGTTCCCACAGTCCCAGTGAGACCAGCTACAGCCCGTGCCCACAAAGCCAGATGGCGCAATGACATCACTTACCCCACAGTGCACATAGTTCTCCCCCAAAAACTCTCTCATGACGTTCTTGCCAAAGTCCACTATGTTCTGCAGGTGCTGGAATATCTCCTCCGAGGTCTGCCAAAAACAAGCAGGAGATGGCCTCGGTGCCAGGACCCCACAGAGCCCACTGCAGACAGACCCCAACAAGGGCAGGGGTGATCGCCATCAGAGCCCCAGGCAGAGCCCATGCCCAGACCCAGCACGGGTATAGGCAATGGCCCTCGGGGGAGGAGCCCTAGCCCTAGGGTCTGTAGGACTGTCCCGCCCAGGCTCCAGTCTGAGGACGCGTTCCACTCCATCTGCTCCTGCCTGCCCTCCTCCACCCCGGCGACGGGACACGCAGCCCTCACGCACTTTCAAGGCACTCGGTCCTGAAAACCATTCATGTACAGAATTATCAGATGTTAGATTTTATTATTTAGCCTCAAACGTAGAAGAAAATGTTTTCTCTGAGTCAGAGGTTCTCAGAGCTCGTGAGGGAGGAGACAGCACTCTCAACAACTGTGATGACCGGGAAGCACATGCGCCATCTTACCTTCTTCCTGTTCGGAGGGAACTTCAGAAAACGCAGCACGACACAGCGCTGTGGGAGAGGAGACGGAGTGATCAGCACGTGCCCACGCTGCAGGGCTCAGCGACCATGGGAAAGGGGCAGGGCAGCGTGGGGGTCCCCTCAGGGGCCAAAGTCCACAGTAGAGCCTAACAGTGAGGAGGCTGCAGGTTACTGGGGAGGGCTGGGCCCCAGCAGGCCGCTGGGGGCACCGCACCTGTGGCCTTTGCCCCAACTGCCCACTCCCCAGAATTCATCTTGAGGCAATAATTATGGAGTACAAATGACAGTGACTACTGCATATAAAAGCTGTTTGTGATTCCACACAAAATGGAAACCACCTGAACACCTAGCAACAGTGGGATGGTCAAATGCAATGACATGCTTTGAACCCCAGAGCACCATGTAGGCGCCTGCAGGGACAGAAGGCGAGGCAGCACCTAGACACGACTGCAGTTGCCATGGCCTGCTGAATGGAGAGACTGCAAAGCCGGGGCTTGCAGGATAAGCCAGAGTCCACAGAAATACACACACACACACATGCAGGCATGAGTATAATGCATTCACAGGAAGTCCAGAGACAGGTAAGACTGTCGGTTGGTGCTCATCCCTTAGGAGTGCAGGGACAGGCCCCGAGGGAAGTTCTAGAACAAAATGGTTAGGAGATTATGGGTACTTTACTTTGCGATCATTTATATGATCTGAGCACTTTTCTGTAGGTATATGACACTTCATTTTTAAGTTTTTAAAGCAAAAATTAAAAAATAAAATATGCAGGGTGATGGCCCCAAAGTGCAGTGGTTAAATGCTGTGCGTAGGGAACCAGATTCCACACAGCCCCAGGCAGTTCAAATCCTGACACCAATGACTTGAAAACTACTCCGGGTGTGCGTGTGTGCCCACAATCCTGACGGAGGAGACATGGAGGAAAAAGGGTGGTGTGTGACCACGTCCACTGCAAGTGCGCTCCCCCTGCCTCTCACACACACATGCGCAGGCACACACCGCACCCTCTAAGAGCTAAAAAGGAAATGTATGTATCCAGTCTGTGTCCAGCACGCATTTAACAGCATTTTCCAGTAGTGACGCTCTCCGTATTTTTACAAACCTCTGCGCATCTGGTTAGTGCAGTGTTTTTAGCTCACAAGGTAGATGTTGTTAGAAAACACTGTAGTAAAGGGGCTGTCTGAGGGACCACCCCATGTGCGGCGGGATGCGAGCCTCATGCGGTACCAGGTGCCCAGCCACAGGGTAAAACCTAGGCAGGGGCAGGAAGACACAGGCTGTGCTGAAGGCTTAGACATGCAGCTCTGCCCAGAGGCTATGGCAGCCAGGCCCTCCCGGCCAGCTGTGTTCAAATCCCGCCTGGCACTTGAAAACATGCTGGGTGCCGATGTGTGCCCAAAATCTCGGCAGGAGAGGAACTAGAGGAAGGACTGTGGCGTAACCAAACACCACTGGGAGTGTTTCTCCTTCTCCCTCTCACATGCCCAATTGTAATACAGAAACAGAAACATGATCAATTAATCCTGGGAATCAACTGGCTAGTGATCACTTTACTGGAACTAAAATTCCATCAAAATTCAAGGAGAAACAGAAGTTACAAAAATCCTAACTCGGGACCAGCAGTTAGCGTAATGGCTATGTCGCTGGACTCCCATGTAGTCGACCGCGGTTCGCGGCCCAGACATCCCACTGCCGTGGCGCCTGCAGCTCAGGTTCTGACTCTGGCCCCACACAGGCCACCCCCTGCCCTAGAGGCCGAGCCTCCTCGCCCCTCGCTGGCACGGTGCAGAGTTCCACAGCATCTGGGGGAGGCACACTGTCTCCCACTTAATGGAGCAAAGTGTAATAAGCTGTGCTCCAAACATCATAGCTTGGCGGTCCTGGGAAGGGCAATGCCACAGCAAACAGCATTTTCAACTCAGGAGGTTGCAGCTTCAGCCCCAAAGAAAGAAATCCCAGGGGCTCATGAACAGCAACACCAACGACAGAAATACAGAAACCCTCCTGGCCGCTGTCACCTGTAGACAGGTACAGACTCAGATTCCAGGTTCCTTGTCATGCCATCCCTAGTAAAGCAGAAAAAGCTGATCTTTCCTATTTATCTCCAAAGAGAAATAACAGATTCCCTCTGCATTACTATTACATATAAAAGAGCCCCCATTAATATCAAGTTTAACTCGATTCAGAAAGCTGTTATCTTGTGTATCCAAAATTAAATTTAAAAAAAAAAAAAACGCAGAGCACTATACAAAGACAAATCATATAAAAGTCCTAAGAGAAAAAAAAAATCAGAACCAAAGTGACTTCAGGGCTTGGTCCTCACACCTTGCCAATGATAAATGACACCACAGTTCCCACTAGCAGGTGTTAACATCAGTAATACTAATCATTATCACTGCCGTAACTCTGAAGGGACTGACTGGGCACACTTGACCACAACACCCTTGTGTCCAACTGAGGAGTGATGCATGTTTGAGAAAGTGAGCATCAGGCTCACCAGGTGGGGTGGTGGTTGAGGCTCTGAAGTCCCACTCGGCCAACTACGGCTCGAGTCCCAGATCCAGCAGCTTGAAACTCAAGGGCACATGTGCGTGCATGCTCAAAATCCTGGGAGAAGAATGGAGGAGAAGGGAGTGCGGCTTGGTCATCCTCCCTGGGGGTGATTTCTTGCTTTCTATTTCTCTCTCTTGCGAGTCACATCCTAACAAAATTCTTTCTCAGGAAAAAAAAAAAAAAAAGAAGGGAAGTGAGTGTCTGCAAAATTCCCTAGAGCAGCAGTCCCTAGCCTTTCTAGCACCAGGAACCAGGACAGTGGAAGACAATTTCTCCATGGCCTAGGGATAGGGGAGGAAGAAAGGAGAAGGATGGTTCCTAAGAGCTCACAGCCTAGACCCCTGAAGGCACAGTTCACAACAGGGGTCACTCCAGGAGAACCTAATGCCCAGCTCATCTGACACAGGTGCAGCTCAGGCAGTGATGCCAGAGACGGATGGTGACTGGATATACAGATGAAGTTTCACTGGCTCCACGGCCCTTACCCACCTGCTGTGCAGCCTCGTTCGTCACAGGCCACTGACAAGTACCAGTGAGGTGGGAGAGAGAACCCTGAGAAACAGACAGCGAGGACGTGAGGCCCGAAGACAGAGACGCGACAGTCAAGCTTGCTCTAGGAACTGCCCACTCACAAGAAACGGTTTGTAGCATGGACTCAATGATTAACGAAGGCCCTGAGACCTAAAGCAAATATAGCAATGAAGGCTTTTCTACCTCCGGAATACAGATCATGGTCTTTATGGCCCAACACTTTCAAACAAAGAGGGTCTGGTGATCTAATTACTCTCTCCAAAATGAGGAGACGAATAACGAGACCCGCCTTGACATACGCCCCCACCACAGGAGGACGCCTGCACGAGTCACTCCCGGCTAGGATAAAACCCTAGTCAGAGTCCCAGTTGGTAACCCATCTCTCGGACCTCTCCCTGATGCCCGGGAGTTGTTTCAACCTTTCAATGAACTCTGCTTAGCTATCACCTCTCTGTGTTCACGTCTCTAATTCTTTCGAGAGCGTGAGGCAAAGAATCAGGTTTGCTGCTGTTCCAACATTGGAAGTTGGGCCCACACACAATGTCCTGTATCACCATGGGGTGACCCTGTGCTAGGGTCAGGACTTCTGCCATCAGCTGACGTTCTGAGGCAGGCCATGTACCTTGACTGCATCCCCTCCCCAGCTCCTCCTCCAAGGTAGGCTCTGAAGACTCGGTGTAGAGAATGAGGATAGTGGGCTCCAGAGGGCAGGGCAGGTCTCAGAGGCTGGTCCTGCCCCATCTGCCAACCTGGCCCTGGCCTAGAGAGGACCTCAAAGGTCAAGGTCATGTGGGATGGGGAAGAGCACCGAGGTACGCCTAGGCCCAGGGAGGTCTCCATGTCTCTCCAGTTGGAGGCTTCTTGCTGCTGCTGAACAGCCAGTGGGCAGCTGGGGAGCTGGCGGGAGAACTGCCCCAGTGGAGCAAGAGGACATGGCTGTGCCAAGTCCGGGCACAAAGCCCACAGGGTCTCTGGCTCTCCCTCCAGCCACACCCTCATTATTTCCTCGGCCCTTCTGCTGTCGCCCACAGGAAATCTTTCCCTTCCCACAAGGGAGCTGGAACCTCACTAACCGATAAAGCCTGAATGTAGTGACGTGTCCATTTCAAGGGAAACCATGCTTTCTCCACCCACCCATTTTTTTTTTATCTAAAAAATATCACCAGAAACCCAACCACCCAGCCTCAGGGGCCCTGCAGCACCAACTCTAATGGCCAATCCTAGCTGATGCCGACACTCAGATGCATCTGCTACCAGCTGGCTCGCAGCAGTTTCCAAAGCTCAACCCCATGGATGTCCAATATGGGCCCTGGCCAGCCCTGGAAGTGTGCATGAAGGGTTTTCAACATACCCATCCTGTATGGTTAAGTTGAAAATGCTCAAAACAAAAACAAACACACAGTGTGCTGAACTACCCAGGAAAGTCATGTGATCAGAACCACACTGGAAGGAAGTACACCGATATTCTCACAAAATTACTTCTTAGCAGGGAAACACGAGTGTTTCCCACTTTATTCTGATATTCTAAATCTTTGGGGCAGAGAGAGGAAGTAGTAACTGGTATTAAAATCAAAAGGTCACCAATTTTTTACAGGTTAAAAGAGGCAACTACCACGGCCAGCAGTTTGCATAGTGGTTAAGGCACTGGACTCCCACATGGCTGAATACAGATCAAGTCCCGGACCCCACAGCTTGAAACTCACATTGGGCCCATGTGCATGTGTGCCCAAAATCCCAAGAGAAGAATGGAGGAGAAGGGACTGCAGCATGGCCATCCTCCCTGGGAGGTGATTTCTCACCTTTCCTCTCACTATCTCTCCAGTGAGCACACACACCTCACGGCCAAAAAAAAAAAAAGAAGAAGAAGAAGAAAAACTACATATGGGAGGTGGGAAAGACCTTCCAGGTGTGAGTAGAGGGCAAGGCTCGCCTGCCCCACAGGG